AGGTGTTCCACCTGTTTCCGATTTGCAGTAGCATCAGTAGGGTAAGGCAACATATCCAAATATGCTTGCATCAAAGATCGACTCTTGCCAACATATGTTTCCATCTGAATGTCAGATGATTTGCTCAGTTCCATAAACTGAGAGATGATGAAATAGAGCTGCTGAATATCATTAGTGTAAAGGGTTTTTGCTTCCTGCCACACTTCAGTACAAGTTTAACGAATAGATGTCTAAGACAACTGGATCAATAGATTGCCAGAGGATGCTCAGGAGCTGGTTGTCGATCTTTTCCCAATCAGACTTTTCCTCCTTAGGGACATCAGTAGACTTAGTCGTGAGGTGGCTCCCATGTCCTTGGCCAAAGAACCAAACTCGAACAGAGGTGGCCCAGTTCTTGTAATTAACAGAACCCTTCAATTTTGAAGGGGTAATGGACCCAACATTGGTAGAGATGATATTGGGAGAATTTTTGACAGGCGAAGGTGGAGAATTGACCTCCGAATGAACAGAACCATCTGCTGCCATAATAAGAAATCAGAAAGATATTAACCGAGTAGATAGGAACGAACCTGATCACCGATCAAGAAGGGGTGCTCGCAAAAAGTCAGACCCACACCAAAACAACCATAGGTCCAGAAAGTGCAGGAGAAGGCGAGTTTCTCTGTCCAAGACCGGCCGGAAAAAGCCGCCGGAAAATGGCTCACGCGCCGGCAGAAGATGGCGCGTGAAGCCCACGCGCAGGTAGCTTGGAGGCGCGTGAGAGCGCGTGGCAGGTGCGTTGCTTACCGGACCACCACAGACCTGGTCGTCGGGAAGAGATGGTCCTGGTCGCATGAAGTTTGGTCGGAAAAGTCACCGGAAAAAGTCTCCGGTGGCCTGAACAGTGATTCCGGTGGCGGCGGTGCTGACGTGTTTGGCTGGGAGTCAGAGCCTCGCCGTCCCCCGCTTTCTCTTGTGGAGTCTCTTAGCACATGTAGGCTAGGCCTGTTGCATTGTCCACTCTTCAAGCCCAATGAGCTCTTGTGTGAGGGGGCGTGTTGAGATATATAACCCCACATTGGTGTATCTCAAGGTTCTTTACAGAAATGAATGTTTTGAATAATGAGGAAACAAGAGGCATATGTTGAAATCTGTGTGTTTCAATAGCAAAATAGAAGCTCTATTATATAGACTGACTATAACAATTACATGATGATAATTGAATGATGTGGGACTTCATCTCTCACAGTATTACCAACCTATTTATAATATTTCCTATGCTCTCCCTTAAGCCAAAGCTCACTAAGCTTTAAGCTTATTACAAATGAACCCTTATAAATAAAAAATAACCAACAATGGGCTTGACTGCATTTAGAACAAGCATTTGGGGCTAGATTGCATCTGGAACAAGATCCGACAGGGCCAGATTGTTGCTTGGACAAAGTCTGATGGGACAAGATTGCAACTGGGTTAAATTTCTCCCCTCAATGTGATGCTAACATTTGAAAAGAATTGGAAATTTTTTCCGCAGGGGCGACGGACGTGGCTGGCGGCTAGGATGGTTGCTGGCAGTGGATGGACAATGACCAGAGGAACTTTACAATAGGAGATATTGGAAACCGAAGTGACAACATAGTTTTCGGATGGATTTATCACTGTTGGGCAGTTCTCTCATCAACTTGACTTTGACACCATGTTAAACGAGAGTATGAGAGGTATATGACGAAATATGTGTTTCAATAGCACTACTGTGGCTTTGATACCATATAGAATTACCATAACAATTACATAGCAATAATTTAACGATGTGAGACTTTATCCCCTACAATATTTTCAACCTATTTACAATATTTCCAACAGAATGCATGGTCTCAAAACTTGAATGGCATGCATGAGCCAACAAGGATAGGCCAACTTCAACTATATTCTTATGTTTGCGCTATAGAGTACGATTTTGGTGGTGTGAAGACATATTAGACGCCGAGTGATCCCAAAATCAGCCAGAAGTTTGGAAGGTGTAAACTCCCAACCCCCCCGCCCCCAATCTCATCCTTTCGCCTGTTTGCAATCCAGCCATGGTTTTGTACTGTTGAAAACTGAAAGAGCTTCAGACTTGGACTTTAAGAGATAGATCCAAGTGTAAAGGCATTAACAAAGGAGATATAGTAAGAAAACCCATCTTAGGAAGTTATAGGTGCAAGCCCCCACAAATCACTTAAGATAAGTTAAAGTTCTGTGTAGACAGTGGTTGAAGCAGTACAGAAAGGCGATGAGCTTTGCCTGCAGAAAGCAGTGCAAAATTCTGAAGCTCCTTTATTAATGAGTGGTATACTACAATGTCAATGTTTGAGGACAGATTGAACTATTGTGGAAGGTGGGTGTCACGGTTAAGCCAAGTAACAGTTTTGAAGGATGTATTACAGGCTCACCCCTTAAGGTTTATTCACATGAGAAGTATAAGGGGCAGGTAAACTGTTGGCAGATAATACTCCAGAAAGGGGGCTCAACAGAATTCAATTAGGGGCTTGGAATGCAGTGGGGAGAATGAAGGATAAGTAGAGACAACATGGAACGGTCTAATCATCTGGAATCTTTGGGCTTTTAGACCCTGGGATAGACCAGTAGCGCCTCTAATTTCTCTGGGTTATCTTTTCATTTCAGTTCTTTAATTGTCATTTCAGTTTTTTTTTTTATTATTTGTTACAATCTGTAGTTATTTGCAATCGCTGTTTAGCCTCTGTGACTGTTGTATATCCACTGGGTTCTCGTTGAACCAGTGCTTGGAAACAGCAATAAGTCTGTTATTTCTTATTTTCCCTTAATTCTTTGTTAGTTCCTATGAGTTTCCTAGCCTACAATGCCATAGGGTGTAGATAGAGGGAGTTAGTGCTTGTATTGTTGAAGTTGTGGGTACAGTGGAAGGTGCAACATGTGAAAAACTAGAAGTAACATGAGGGAAAGTAGGAAAAGTAGGAAGAGAAACACCAGAATAGCTGGCACTAGAAGCTGCCTGCATTAAGGGCCCGTTTGGATGAGCTTTTTTTTCCTTCAAAAGCTGTTTTTTTTAAGGGAAAAAAGCACTTCTCGAAAAAAGTCTATTTGGATGTCTGCTTTTAAAAAAAGCAGAAGTAATAAAAAAAGCCAAAAATCTACTTTTTCAGAAGCTAAAAATTTTTGCTTCTAAAAAAAGCAGAAGTCAAAAGCTAAATATTTTTTTTTCAAAAATCAAATATTTTTTAAAAATCTAAGTAGCTGTAACTTTTATATAAAGTGCTTTTAAAATAAGGAAGTGATAAAAAGGACTTTTTTGACAAGTCAATACAAACAAGCTCTAAGTGCCCTGGAGGAGCAACAACATTTGGGAAGGCATAGAGACCACAAGACACAAGGTAACTTTCCAAGAGGACTTAATGAGTTCCTGAGATTTGACAAAACAAGTAAATGGATGAAATTTAAAGTATATAGAATGGTCTTTAGCAAATTTGCCGACATTGACTAGATTCTTAGTTATGGAGGGAAAAGGTTGTTGAGAGATAAGTTAATGTGAGGGTGTGTGGGTGATGGGAAAGTAAATGATCCAACTGAAGGATTGGTAGACCTTGGGCAATCCCCATTACGATTTGATCCTGAACATCCAAAATAGTTCTGTGCATGAGGTACTGCAGATTCGTAACACGGTGAGAGTCACCAGAGTCAGCGTACCAATTTTGCGTAGCTGCAGTTTCAAAGATTGTGAGATAGGCCATCGGAGGTAGATGGGTTCCTACTGAACCTAGGAACATTAGTCTATTGAGATTGACCAATATAATCAGGATCTGGAGGAGCAAAATAATGTGGCTGAGATATTTCATGGCATGGAGCATAGGAAGATTGTGGTGGAGTAAGAGGAGGGTGCAAGCTTGAGGATTTCCTGCCAAGCAGGATGAACATAATATGTTCAGTAAAGAGGTGTCCTCTGATTATTTGTTTGATAGTAAGGTAATGAATAGGAATGGGTAGCACTACCATAAGTGTGTAATCAATGCAATGAAAGCAAATATAAGCAAATGGGTTAAAGTTACCGCCATATGAAACTGTTGTTGAAACTGAGCTGTGCTGAATCTGGAGCTGAATGCAGTGCAAATTGGCTCAGGTTAGATGCTGGCCAATTCACGACCTTGAGCTCACCAGAAGGTTACAATGATGACAAATGAGGAAATACTCGAAGCCACTAAAGGGCCTGTTTGATTTATGTTTCCAAAACAGGCTTTTGATTTTCAGAACCAAAAAACCTATTTGATAAAGTCTGTTTTGTAAAAATAGTTTTAAAAATTATAACTGTTTTTTAGTTTTTAGAATCAAATTTAGAGAACATATGTGAGTTATTTTTGTTTCGTGTTTTGACTTTAAACTTTTAAAACAAAAAAAGCACAAATAAAACCTATTTTATTAACTATTCTACAAAATAGTTTAAGAACAAAAAATAGAACACAATTAAACGGACTCTTTGTCTCTGCTTTTGAGCCATGTTAAGAGTAAACAACTCAATAGTGCTTTTACACAAGATCCAAATGGGCGAGAGTAGGGACCTTGTGGATCATCTTTCGTTTGAATTTGAATTTTACAGTTTTGAAATTAATATAGTTTTCATCTTTTTTCTCTCCTCTTTTCTTTAATCAACCCATGTATATTTTGATGATACTGTACTAAGTTTTGTGGGTTGCTATCTGAAATTGTTTTGGACTATTAGCCAAATGCATTTGTATCAGTTAAACAAAGACAGTATGTAATCCTATTCATTATCTCATATAATCAAGGCTGCATTTTAACACAATATTCCCTTTTCTTTGTGGATTCTGTGATCTGTTTTTTTGTACTTTTGTCCTCTCATATTCATGCTGTATTTTTATTTGTTGCAAAATCTTTTGAATGATGAAAAGACAACATTATTATTATTTTTACAATGACTGTCCTGCATTACTTTCTATAACACCAGTGGCATGTTCTCACGCTATTTTCTTTGCCTGCAAATATTTCGACAGATATTAGAAGCACATGATGATGAAGTGTGGTTTGTACAATTTTCACATAATGGGAAATATTTAGCTTCAGCATCAAATGATCGATCTGCAATCATTTGGGAGGTAATATTTGATGTTGAAATATATACTTTTGTTCTGTTTTTATCATCGAACGCTCTATGTAGAGACCAATGTAATCTTTTATTCATGTCACATGCATAAATAGCATATGGTATGGGCACTGTTTATTTTATATGACTGTGAAGGATATCTGTATCATTAACATAGTCCCAAGTTCAACAATGTCCAATTCTATCTAGTCTCTTCTTGACTTTTGCAATATATAGGTCATGTTTTATTGATAAACAATGAAAGAGCACAACCCTAGCTTTGTATGATGTGTTTGACACAAACGAAATCAACAACCCTCCTAAATACGTTAAGGTGTTAGTTGAAAACACTTTAATGATTTTATATTAAATCTCTGACACGCCCCTCAAGCTAAGAGACCTCTGAGATTCAAGCGTGACAATGCACGAGCCCAGTGGACAATGCAGAGACTTGTAGATGTTGATATTAAACTTTTTATTACAAGAATGAGGATAACGAATTGAATTCTAGACCATTTGGCCAGAGGCTTTGATACCACGTGACAAACTAACTCTCCAGAAGCTTCAGCTATTGGATGGATGCACAAATTGTTTAATTATACCTCTAACAAAAATTCAGCTTTTTTTCTGGAATTGAAGCGGAAAGGATCAAACTCTAGACCACTTAGTTAGAGAGGCTTTGATACCATATCACGAACCAACCCTCCCAAAAGATCAAGGTTTGCAATGGAACGTCTGACGAGAGGGGGAGAAATTTGGTGGTGCATGTCTAGTGTGTCCACGGTCTTTACTCGTTTGATTTGCATCACATTGACGGGGGAAATTTGCAAGTTGCAGTCTGGCCGTGTTGGTCTTTTTCCAACAATGGTTGATGTTGGCTGATGCTTACAGAGGTGGGCTAAGATGCAGCGTAAGATGATTGATTGTTGGGAGGGTTGATGAAAAATTAGTTGACGTAGAGAGGAGGTGGTCTAAGACTTGGCTGGGTTACATGATGCAATCTTGATCGACTGTTCACTAGACAAAGATCTCGTCGGATAATTTTTTAGACAATGGTTGATGGTGGCTGGTGTTGAAGACGATGGCCTAGATGCGGCAGTAATGATTAACTGTTGGGAAAGGGTTGATGTAGAGAGAAGGCAGCGCAAAAGTGACAATATGTCACGGAGGATGGTATCGCTCTGTTACCATGTTACAAACCGATTCTCCCAAAAGTTTAAACTATTAGGGGTAGAAACATGAATGGTTTTGTAAAAGCAGACCTGGAGTAGACTGACCAAATGTTAACTTCTTAAGTTCTATTTATCTAAAAGGAAACAAGGACAAAAGGAAAAACATGTACACAAATTGCATGAATGATTGATTTGTTTTTTTTTCTTTTTTCTTTTCTCTTTCATCAATTCTCATAGAAAAAATTGAAAAGTCAAACGAGCTCAAATTGTTAAATGAAAAGGAACTAAAGGACCATTATTGAATTCACCGTATGTAATTATTCCATTGCTCTGTTTTCAACTTCAAAAAGAAGGGCTTCTAATAGTTATTCACTAACTCTCTGCATTTTATTTGGCTATTCCATTGTTATGTTATTATTCTTCTAAAATAGAGGTTTCACAAAATCATTCGCTCACTCTATATGTACCTTATTTCCTTATTTGGCTATGTCGTTGTCAATTTTTGTTGTTCTAAACATAGACTTTTTGCAGTCACTTTATGTGAATTACTAGTGACTTATGACTCAATTTGTTTTCTTTGATTTATGGTTAAGTTCTTTTCCCGATTTCTAATTTAAAATTATTACATTGAGGAGCATTATACATAATTTTTATGATATTTTCAAGCTATATTTCATTGTATTTGAATCTTATGATTAGATATGATTTACGGTTCATGATTCAAAAATTAGCTTGGCAATTCAAGATTTGAATTGCATTTGATAACGTTGGTTTAGTTTTTGTCATGCTGAACTAGATTATGAGTAATGCTAAAGACGGATTTTGTCTCCAAACAATGTTAGGAGTCAATGTGGTCCCTTTCAATAATGAGTTAGGCCGCCTCATTTCCTGCGAAGGGGTTATCGCCACCCCAAAACAAGGTAGGAGGGTCCCCTCATTGAGAGTTTTGATAGGTGTCATTTGTGTACCAACATTATAATTGGTATAGTACAAACATTCTACCCAATGAATCCATTCATTTTGGCCATTGTTAAGGATTGCTAATAAACCTGAAGTGGTTCTCTAAACACTTGTTAGTCACCTCAATTTTCCCATTTGATTGTAGGATGATATGTTAGGGTGAATTTCAACTTGGTTCCAACCTGCATGAAGAGTTCAATCCAAAAATTGCTCGTGTAAGGTCTATCCCCTGTGTAAGAGAATGGAAGAAGGGAAACCATGCAATTTCACTACTTCCTTTATAAAGCTGTCGTCCACCTCCTTAGCCGAGTAAGGATGACAAAGGGTTACAAAATTGGCATTGGTGAGTCTATCCAGTACTACCATAATGGTGTCAACTCTATAGTGAGTCTCCTCACATGATCGAGGATGATACGGCAGGGTGAATTTCAACTTGGTTCCAACCTGCATGAAGAGCCAAGTCCAAAAATTGCTCTTGTAAAGCCTATCTGTCTTATATAGAATGGAAAGGGGAATCCATGCAATCTCACTGCTTCCCTTATAATGTTGTCAGCTAAGGATGACATAGGGTTACAAAATTGGCATAGTTGGCTAAATATTGACCAAATCTAGGGTAAAGGAGGATTATTCTTATATAAACTGGCTAATTGTTACTTCATTAGAGAGAAGATATTATCTAGAGACATCCACTAGCTTTGTTCACTAAAATGATCAATTGACAAATGTTTTCACATAGTCTTTGAGAGTTCCTCGAATAATTTACCTATATAACAAGCTTGGTGAATATGACCTATATATGCTCCGATTTGAGGGTGAGTGATGATAATTGTAGTAACTATGTAAATAGTATTTAGTTTATTATGTAAATATGGTAGTTTGAATCCAATAATTTTAGTAATTAGGGTACTAGTGACATCTGTATTTATTTAATCTCTGGCTATATAATCCAAATACCGATGCGAAGTTAAGACACAAATTTCATGAAAGTCTCTCGTTTTCTCCTACCTTAACAGATTTATTCATTTATTAAGGGAAAAATGTATTGCCAAGAGAACAGAACGGTGAGGAGAGGAGAAAAAGGATTTACGTTGAGATCAATTTGGGTGACGTCTGATTGAAAAATGAAAATGAATTCTAGTTGAGAATATAGTATGGAGGTTGATTCATCTTGCACCACTAGAAGATGCCACTGCCTTGCCTTTGATTGACAGGTAGCATGATTGCAACTGATTTGTTATATTACACACGTGGGTACTATCATAAACTTATCCAACCATAAACTTATCCAACCATCTTTTCTTAGGTCGTATCAAATCATGATTGAACTTCCTTAGTATTTGGCTCTTTCTAAGAATCAATCTAGAGACTGTAGTGTGGATGTTTATATAATTTTTCCCAAATTATGTATAATTTCAAAAAAAATTATTAAGTGGTTTTACAGTCTGTTTTCTTCAAATATACCAAAGAATGTGTTTTGAATTAAAATTTCCATTTTCCCCAAAACCTTAACTACTGGCTTTGGAATTGTAATCTCTTATGCATTTGACTTAAATCGCCTATATAAGTAAGGCTCAAGCAGATAAACATAGAAAGCTCAATGAATTTCAAGAAGGTGATCTAGTCTTCTCCTGGAAAGCATGCTAAACTCAAGCCTATATTTTAAATAAGTTTGGTTACAAATTCTACAGGTTGATATACAAGAAGACTTCAACGTTTCCGATCCCTTAAGGGTCAACCTTAACAGATGATTCTCAACCAGGGGAGAATTGAAAGTTGTGTGTGTTTTTTTTTTTTTTTTTTTTTTTTTTGCGTATGTCTTTAAGCAACTGGAAGCGGAAATGCTGTAGTTAGATTTGGTTTAGCCTTTGTCTTTTCATGGAAGTATAGTTATTTTCGTTTTTTAATTCCCTCTAGTTATTTTTTGATTTTTGTTACTTATAGGTATGCTTTTTATTAAGGGGATTTAATTAATTTTCTTTTTTCAAAAAGTGTTGGCTAATATTTAAGTATTACTGTCTTTGGAAGGTTGTTCTAAGGCCTTATTTTCACTAAATCCCTTAGATGTTCTCAGGGTAATTGTATATGTAATAAGCTCGGTCCATATGTATACTCCAGCTTGAGAGAGGAGAGGGAGAGATTAAATCATGTTAGAGATGAGATAAATGTGGTAACTTGATATTTAATGGAAAGTTGTAATTATTGCTGTAATTTGGGAGACCAAGTTGTTTAAGTAATATAAGTTGTAAAACTTTGCTCTCCTTACTCCAGCCAAACCCTCTTGAAAATTAATTCTGCTGTGCCTCTGCATAGATCACTGTTTTGACTCATATATTAATGGGGAGTCTGCGGTTACTTGAACAGGTTCTGGATAGGAATTAAGGTATTTTTTAGGTGCTTCATGCTTGTGTGGTGTACCCTACCTCTGTAATATTGTTCAACTTTTACACATACACAAAATGTCACGCAGTGCCATGATATTAGGTTTCACATTTTTGATTTTTGGCTTTTGTTGTAATAGGTTGACATGAATGGTGGACTGTCTATCAAACATAAATTATCCGGTCACCTGAAACCTGTTTCTTCTGTTTCATGGAGTCCTAATGACCTAGAGCTCCTTACGTGTGGAGTGGAGGAGGCGGTTAGGCGTTGGGATGTCTCTACTGGTAAGTGCCTGCAAGTTTATGAGAAAACCGGTCCTGGCCTAGTCTCCTGTGCATGGTTTCCAAGTGGGAAATATATACTTTTTGGCCTCAGTGACAAGAGCATTTGCATGTGGGAATTAGATGGGAAAGAAGTGGAGTCTTGGAAAGGACAAAGAACCCTTAAGATTTCTGATTTGGAAATATCGGGCGATGGGGAACAGATTCTCAGCATTTGTAAAGACAATGCAATACTGTTATTCAACAAAGAAACTAAGGATGAGAGATTTATTGATGAGGATCAGACAATAACCTCCTTCTCCTTGTCAAAGGATAGCAGATTCTTGTTGGTTAATCTTTGGAACGAAGAAATACATCTTTGGAATATAGAAAGTCATCCTAAGCTTGTTGGCAAGTACAAAAGTCATAGACGCTCACGGTTTATTATCAGATCTTGCTTTGGTGGACTTAAGCAAGCTTTTATTGCTAGTGGAAGTGAGGATTCACAGGTATTAATCTTAAGTTAGTAGTCTACAAATATATCATTTTTTATTTGTTTAGTTAGGCTGAGGTTGTCCTTGGTTGGAGGCGATTGATTGTTTTCATAGTCATTTTGTAGTGAATTCTATTGTATAAATGTGGACAGTAGCCAATTTGAGTGTAATGGATTTCCGTCTTTGTAGGTTTACATATGGCACAGAAGCTCAGGGGATCTAATAGAGGCATTGCCTGGTCATTCTGGAGCAGTTAACTGTGTGAGCTGGAATCCAGCTAACCCCCATATGTTAGCCTCAGCCAGTGATGACGGGACAATTCGGATATGGGGCTTAGAGTGTCTGAATGTAAAGTACCAAAATGCATACACCAATGGCGTCCATTACTGCAATGGGGGTGAACCTAGATGAAGGCAAACTACTTTAATTTCATTTCTTTTTTCTATCATTGCAATTGTGTAAATACTTTTACTATCACCACAAGTAGACAAGACGACATTCATACCAAACATGCATGCGACTTTTCATCAATCTGAAAATAAATTTATGTTCATTTAAGCGTTTGCTCTTCGTCCTGAGCTTGATTAATTGATTCTCCTATGTTGGTTACATCCAGCAGATTCAATGACTAGACTGAGTTTTTTTTTTTTTTTTTCCGAAATTCTTTTTAGAGGCCGGCGTGTCTGTGATAATATAGTGTCCCGTAGGTTTCTTAGGCCTTTAACCTTCTTTTTTTTCTTTTTTTAATTGGAGATTGCGTCGCCATCAAATACTGAATAATTATGTCACTATATGTTGATTAACATTTTCGTGCATATAACTTTTATTGATGGGTAGTTATTACTTCCTCTTGATTAATATGATGGATTTAACCGTGCTTTGCCAAGTCACCCTCCTTTTCGGCTTCATTTTCTAATTCGGTTAGTTGTTACCTCTTTTCGAAAGATCTTGTACTTGTGGATATTGTGCAACGTACCATTATCATTTTCTTACGAATGATTTTTACGTTGTATGTTTTGGTAAATACATCTAAAAGAAATTAGTACAATTATATCATGTTATTAACATTCCTTGCTCAGCAAATTATCCACCTTTGAAAATTTATATTGCAAGTTTTCTGTGCACTATACTAAGTTTTGTATCTGCGGTGACGTCTGTCTTTGAAAATGATTTTGGTGGTGAGTAATGCTAAGAAATCTATTGTAAGAATGTAAGTAGCTTTGAACTTTTTTCTTGAAGTGCTTGTCAGGTTATGAAGTTGAAAATGATTTTGGTGGTGAGTATCTGCGATGTTGTAGTTTGTGCTGCTGTTACACAATTATGAAGTTTGCAGTAGGCTGAAATGAAGCCATCTTCTCCTCTGCTTATTATGATAGATTTTAAAAATCTGTGCTACGTGCCTAGTCCATTTGGTTGTTCATTTTCATTTTTTGGGTAAAAGTCTATGTTGCTTTACTGTATTATTTATTTATTTATTTTTCCAAATAACTCGATTGGACAATTTCAGGTAGATTATGAAATTTGAGACAAGATTGTTGATTGATAGTGCGTCTATTGTCATATAGACAGAATTATTCGATAAAATTAAAACTCAAAGCTTCCATGGATTGCACAACATTATTCTTTGCTGTGGAAAAATTCATTATACTCACCGCTCATCATTTATTTGGTGATCTCCTTCCCATAAATGAAAAAGTTTATTTCATTTCTATCCCTTTTTGATTTTTTTTCCCTCAAATTCTCCCCCTTTTCTATTTTGGGAAGAGACTATTATGTTCCTGTCCCATAAAAAAGCATCTCCTTTGCTGTGAATATTTTGATCAAACTAGCAAGCTTTGAACGATGCAAACAAAGCATCATGCATGTAAGATGGGTATACTAGTATTCCAAAACTTACTATTATATGAACAATGTAAAACCAATAGAAAAATTAAGATTTGGTGTTAAAATGAAATTTAAGGGATGTAAATGGATTGGTTCAGTTTATGCTTTGTTCTAAATTCACCAAACCTATATAAAATATTTTGAGTCAATGACCTAACTTATATTTAAAAATAAAAAAACTTATCCTAAGTTTATTAACTTGTTTAAACTTATTAGAAATTAAAAATATATATATATAAAATAATAATATAATATAAATCAACTTGTGGGCTTGCGGGCCAGACTTAGTAAAAATAAGCCTGCAACTTATTTTTTAAATAATTTTTTTAATGTCCGAGCCTATTCTATTTTAGTGAATATACAAGGTAGTAGGTCGCTCAACATATTTACACTCTAAGTATACTTTTTGGCTTTTAGGAAAAATTCAAATCAAAGACCAAATAAAACATTTTTTTTTACTAACTTAACACGCTTATGTTAACAGGCGTCAATGCACTTTATTTTTTTCAAAATATAAATAACTAGATAATTATTTACTTAGTACCTAAATAACCACCAACCTTTTTCCTTTAGTTGTTTGGCAAATGAGAGACAGAGAAATGACTCTTTTTGTCTTTCACATATGTATGTGCATGTACGCACAACAACCAAATTTATGATGAATAAGCATATCAATAAAGTGAATTTTCTTCCAGATATTATGAATGGTAGCTTCCATCATCCATTGAGTTGGTAACCGTAGGTGAAATCTGCAATCAAATAAAGGAAAGTCACAGTTCCTTTGTGATTTTTTCTGATCCTTCCTGGATTTTGGTAATAAAAATTTAAATATCAGTTACATGCACCAAGGATCATTGCCCCAGGATCCTCATCATGTCCAGCTGCTAAGCTCATTCCCTTTTGCTAATTTTAAAACTAGTAAAATCTCTATGCTTCAACATCAAAATGATATATAAATGGTTTAGACTCGTCTTCCATGTGACCAGTAAGATATGAAAGGCATTCAATAACCAATTCTAAATGCCAGTGTAAATTGTCTTCTACAAAGAAAGGTTGAATCTTCTGGTTAATCTCAATCCAACTACACCCTGGATTCTTCTTTAATCCAAGCTCCTTCATCTTTGATCTCACCATCCGTACCTCATCCCATTTATGAGCAGAAGCATACATATTTGATAAGAGAACATAGGTTGATGGATCATCAGGATCCTTGTCAATAAGTATCCTTGCAATTTCAACCCCTAAATCAAGATTTCTGTGCAAACGACATGAAGAAAATAATGTGCTCAACAACCCAACATCATTCCTGATTTCATGGTTTCTTTGCAGAATCTCATATGCTTCATTTAATCTTCCAGCGCGTCCAAGAAGATCAATCAAGCATGAATAATGTTCAACTCTAGGTATAATACTGAAAACATTGATCATTTGATTGAAATAATAGCATCCCTCATCAACCAACCCAGCATGGCTACATGCAGATAATATGGCAAGAAAAGTAACCCTATCAGGTTTCACATTAGACTTCAGCATTTCAGCAAAAAGCTCCAGAGCTTCATAGGCCTGACCATGAGACCCATAAGCAGTAATCATGGAAGTCCAGGACACCAGATCTCTTTCCGGCAAACATTTAAAAACACGGGACGCTTCATGTACAGCACCACACTTTGCATACATATCAAGGAGAGCACCCATAACCACTTCATTGTTTTCCAAATTTCTCTCAATAATCAGATTGTGAATATCTTTACCCTTTTCAAGTGCTGCTAGTTGTGAACAAGCTGCTAAAACACTAGTAAAAGTTATAGCATCTGGTTCAACATAAGATTCTCTCATTTCACAAAAGAGGCCAAGGGCTTCAAAAAATTTCCCTTCAGTCACATATCCAGAAATCATAACATTCCAAGAAACTGCCTTGGTCTTCGGTATTAATTTAAAAATGTTTTCAGCTAACCTAGCCTTACCACATTTGAGGTAAAGATCCATAAGTGAGCTATTAATAAAAATATCAGGGTGTATTCTGTTTCGTATTATATATCCATGTACAAACTTCCCCTCTAGAAGTCTGGCTGATCGTGAACAAACCATTATTATACTACTTAAAGTAGTCAAAGTTGGCTTGACTCCCTCATTGTACATCCTCTTAAAAAGTTGAATGCAGGAAATGCTGTCACCTTTCAAACCATATCCTGTAATCATGGAATTCCATGCAACAACAGTCTTTTTAGGTATTTGCTCAAAAACCTCTATGGCCATTTCCAGGTGACCACATTTTCCATACATGTCAACAAGAGCAGAGCTAATGAAACTATCCAGCAGAAACCCACTACTAGTTAACTCATTATGAATTTCCCTTCCCCTGTCCAAATCCAAAAGTCTAGCACATGAGGAAATAGCAGTTGTGATTGTAACCGAATCAGGCTCAAACCCTAATCTTCTCATCAAGCCAAAATATTGTAGTGCCTCGTCAAATTTTCCGCTTTGGTAATAACAAGAAATTACTGTATTCCAGCATGCCACATCCTTTTCAGACATTTCATCAAACATCTGTATAGCATACTCAAATGCATTGCATTTAGCATACATACCCACAAGAGAGCTTCCAACTACAATATCTGTCATTAAACCAGTTTTTATCAAACATGTATGAATCATTTTTCCTAAGACAACTCTACATAGCCCACTGCAGGCTTTAAGAACACTAGGGTAAGTATAACTATCAGGTTTTAGGTAAGGGCAACGTAAAAACTTCTCAAAAAGCTCTAGGGCTTCCACATACATGTAATTCTTAGTGTAACCCGCCAACAGGCCATTCCACAAAGATATCTCACATGGGTTTTCAATGGTATCAAAAACGTGTTTTGCATAATTATATAGATGGCTAGAAACATATAGGCTAATCAGGTTCTTGCATAAGAAAACATCATTTTGCAAGCCTAAAGTTACAACTTTCTGATGAATGATCTTGCCTTGCTTCAGTGACTTGGAGTTTACACAGGCTCTCAAAAGGGGTAGTAGTTTTCTTGACTCCATTCAGCAATGGCCAGAAAGAGTCTATACTAGACAGAAAACCATAATCACCAATCCAAAGCATGAGAGCAAAACAGATACCCACAAACATATATACAACCAATAGATGCAAAAGGGTAGGTGGAAAAGGACACTAACTTGTGAACAAATGGAGAAGAGCGTCATAGGTGATGAACAAAAAATGCGGTTGAACAGGCATTGCCATGAAGTAACAAAAATTGCTGAAAGCTTGAATCTTTAAAAACCCCAAAGCCAATTTCAATGTCTTTTTCTAAATTTGGGGTTTATAGTTAGAAATCTTCAAATTTCCGAATTGGGTTTCGATAATTGAATGGGAAAGGCATGATTGGGTTTCTGCTGCAAAATCTTTCATTCGTGCTATATGAAACCGTAACAATGGATGGGGGATTGTGATCGTAACGTTTCCGGCCGCCGAATCGTTTTAGGTTTCAGCCTTGAGTAGCGGAGGGAATAACGGTGGAATTTGATTCTCTCCTAATTATAATTGTTGGTGTTTTGGGAGTCGCTGCAAACTAACCAAACCGGCGGTATTTTTGGTTCTTTTATTACGTTGGGAAGTTGACCAATGTACTAATATATTTTAAAGGGTTTGTTTTTTTTCTGATGTTACTTTAGATAACTTTATCTAATGTTCATCAAAACGACGTTATTTTGGGACAGAAATCATGATATTTTTGTAATTTTAATTTATTTCAGGATTATAATAGTCTTTATCACTCTAATTTTTTAATTTTTCAACCCCAAAACGACGTCGTTTCGATGAACATTAGATAAAGTTATCTAAAGTAACATCGGAAACTTTTTTCCCTATTTTAAAATCATCTATGTCATGTGGTTTTTTCTTTATCACATATGTCCTCTGCTTTGTAAAAAAAATAAAAAATTACAGGAGCATATGTGATAAAAACGTACCCTCTTTTGCAAACCACATGAGAGTGTGTGATAAAAAAAACTATAGGAATATAGATGATTCTAAAGCAAATCACATATATATTGGTGAACTTTCCCATTATTCTTTTAGTGGTAAAAACGAATAAAAAATAATAATTCACCACTTCTTTTTTTAATGATAAACGAAGGGTTCATTATTAAACATGGACAGAAAGATATTTTTTTTTATGATAACACCGAGATAACTAGAAGCCTAAATAGATTAGGTTAGGCTAGACTTTGACTTAAATAAGTCAACCATGTGCAAAAAACCATAGAGTTTGGTCTGACCTGTTAATCTGTATAGGCCCCAAAGTACAAGTCTGGCTTAACCTATATTTAAATAATAAAAGCCTTGACCTAGGCCTATTAGCTTGTTTAAGCCTATTAAACATTCAACAATTAAAAAGATAACTAAAATAATATTTTTTTATTATACAAAATTATTAAAATAATAATTTTAGTTATTTTATTTAAAATAAATAATATGATATAGCCCGGCCTACAAGTTTATAGGCCCTACATGTACAAAAAAGCATATGTCCTATTTTCTAAATAGATTTATTTAAAAGTTTAGGCCTGTTCTATTTTACTATTTGTAATAGGTCAAGTTTGGCCTAATATAAGCTAGGTTGTAAGTCCTTGTAGGCCGGCCTAGCCCATTTACACCCGTAGAGATAACAATAAAAATAGTCTTGTCAAGAAAAAGAAAAAAATACTATCTGTGCGAACAAATTGGAGATACATAAGAGAGTCATGCAAGAAAAATGATGAAATAACAAAATGACAAAAATATAGATAAACTTTGAAAGAAAATTAACACCGAATAAAGAGCAATACAAAAAATATGAGAATAGAAGAACGAGATTAAAGACAACAAACCTTAGATAGTGATCAGAGCAGTTTTGCGTGGGCTGATCATAATTTGATGAAGCTTTCTTTGATGGTTATTTGATGCAACTTTACTCGTGTATTTGCAAGACATTCTGATATCAAAGTCAAATTTTGTGCAATCAGATTTTTATAGGTAGAAATGTACCTTTGTTTAGCACACTTGTATATATAATGGGAAGATGACAAGGTTTGGGGATGTCTTTGATTGTTTCCTGCAAGTGGTGTGGCAGTAAGGTCTCTCAATTGGTTATTATGTAAGTGACTTGTGATTTGTTTATAGAGGAGCACGAAGGTATGAGCAGTCTTTGTTGACTAGGATGTCATCTCGAAGATACCTTTTGTAACACCTCGTGTATACCCGGTTTGTTATCATATCATCGTATTAAGCGCTGCTAACTTTTTAAAACATTCAATAATGATGTCTTTGTTATTAACCAAGTTGATTACTTAATCCTTTTTCAAAACATTTTCTGTATGTAAATTACAATTAAACAACTAACTGCACTAAATGACCTCATAATATAATTAAGTGTGTATCTAGTCACGGAACTACAACATGTAGACCAGACAATATCCTGATACAATTATACAACTCAACTCTAAAATCATGATCAAGTTAATGGGGCCTGGACAATCCACATGCTCACCAAATAAGGCAACAAGCCCCACATAGTCTCAGCTCAATAAACAATATAATGAAACTAAAAACATAGTCAACCACTAAGCATATCAGCATACCAGCATGTAAACTAACTCAGCTCCGGCCTCCTACCACCCGAGGTATCAACCCCTGAGGTACCTGATCCTGAAAAATGTGCCCCAAACGTGGGGCGAGATCTCTAAAAAGAAATCTCTGTAAGACAAGGGGTCCTCAAGGATGTCTCCACCCCAAGCTCACTTACATGTACAATATAAGTTCAAAAGCAACATAATAATATAAGTTCCAAAATCAGTGCAATGCAGCATATAATCATGTAATGTGTGTCAGAATCCTACTGGCCAGAAAACATGCAGGAATTACATACGTCTATAACCTACAATCAATGCAAGACGCTACTTGCACCCACCCACAGAATCACCATATTGTATGACACCACATACTCAGGCTTACCGTTTAGGTGAAACAACACATACATATCATAAGGCATTTGCACTTAACAGCTCAATAGCATTTCAAATATCAATACATGAAAACACATCATGCATACAAACCATCCCTCCATGAGGTATGGTGGAACCAGCAATGGCAAAACCGAGGACACGAATGCTTACCTCGCAAGCTAACTAACTATCCAACTCAAGAGTCCAACCAACTTCAAGGTCCACAAACAGCACTCTCAGAGTCTGTTTATACCAACAATCACATCAATATTCATATTCTAATAGTTCATGACATAACGACAACGTTATCCTTTTACATTTCATTCCACTAGGCTTCTCACAAAGTCATAAACCCTTAATCCAATTGATTCTGACATAGATTATTTATTACAGAGGTTCAACTAACCAATCTAGGGTCCATAAACCCCAAATACAGTTCTGTATGAACAGAACAATTACTGTCTCGAAATTTCCAGAATATCCAGATATATGTCGGGGCCATATCCGGATATCCATATCCAGATATTATATTCGAATATCCATATCCAGATATCTCCAACCCCATATCCGGATATCAATATCCGGATATCATATTCGGATATCAATATCCGGATATCATATCTGGATATTTCGCGACAGAATGTAGTTTCTGCATTTCGCGAGATATCCCTTCCAAGGTTCTATTTTTAAGACTTTTAAACGTTAAAGCATGCATCTTTAAGCACATTTAGGTCAGTGATCATGCCAACTAATTAATTCTACCATTTTACATGCCAAGACTCCACTTTTACCAAAGGAACTCATGAACCAAAGTAAGAACATACCCCCAACAGCTCAAAACAACAACATAGAAGGTGTCTTGATGGTTTCTATGTCATTCTACAGTGCATCAACACATGGCCACGAAAATGAGCATCAAGGTAGGTCTTTTACTCCACAAGGTAGCTTCTTGGAGCTCAAAATGGCACCACAATGGCTCCCACAACTCCCACCAAGAAGTCAGCCCCAAGAACCTCACCAAACAGAGACCATACTCAGAAGAATGGTTGTCTCTCATCCTCACAAGGTTGCTCACACCAAGTTATGGTGATTAGATGAAGAAACTTGGACCAAAGGTGGTCACTCTGGGGTTTCTAAGGAGAAGAAGGCTATGAAATGGTGAAGGAGAGGTTCAGCAGCCAAAGAGATCAGAAATCTCATGTAGAAGACACTAAGAATTAACCTAGGTCTTTGTGTCAGTGGTTATTTATAGGCGTTTAAGTTTTAAACACACAGTATTAGCATTGATAGTCACTTAGCATTTTAATTCCAAATTTTGGATTCTTAATCTAGTCATTTTTTTAAGATTTATCATATTTTTATTTTATTTTTCGCAGCACTTTGCCGGTACGCGCTTTTATGTAGCCGGTATCAGTTCTGACATCAATTCTCATTAATTTGACTCCAAACTTGTTATACTAGTCCTAGAAATTATTCTAGTGATATATACATATTTTTCATAATTTTTCGGGATACTTCATCAGTACGCACTTATACCGTGGAACAGAACCGGTATCTGCACGTTTCGTCAGAAAAACGACTTTCAGCATTATTAATCACTTACTATAATTATTTAGGCCTTTTCATAATTATTAGGGTCAATTATGGAATTTATCTCTTAACTCATAATTAATTTAATTAATTTCCTAAATTAACGGTGCGGGTTCTTACACCTTTCTTCATGGTGAATGCTTTAAATGTGGGACTAAATATATTACTCAAAAGCATATAGCATTCACGAAAAATTAAATGTCACAAGCCATGGTAAACTATGATCTAATTTAAAACAATGAATAATTATATCTAATAATTCAAGCGTCAAAGTCAATAGAGGAGTAAAGATCCTAGTCTTTATACATGAATCTAAGCCCAAAAGCTCATTTATAATATGTTTATAAGACTTAAAATATGTTTTGAAAGGTATATGGTTGATAGCATTGCATGAGTTCAAGTCATTTACTAAATTTCATATTGAAGTTCTCATAAATGATACTAACAAAATGGATGGAAAAGACTTAAACATGTTTTGAACTCATGGGCATTCATCCATAATCCAATTATTTGTGTTTGCAATGATAGAATTTGATTTGAATCGAAAGGGGGCAAGTTTTGCTTAATTGTTGATTCACTTTAGTAAATATTGATTTACTTGAGTAAATATTGTCATCTATTCAAATAAATATGTCATTTTCTCTACTTGAGTAAATCTGTTTACTCGAGTAAATGCTGATTAACAACATTCACCCAAGCAAATGTTGATTAACAACATTCACTCAAGCAAATGCTTATTAACAACATTCACTCAAGAAAATATTTTCCAGAAATCTTTTCAACTTCAATGCCTATAAATGATTATATTTTGTTAGAATATCTATACTCATTTCTAATGGCTCCAAACAAGCTTGGACATTCTTGAAACATTTTTTGAGCTATTATTAAATGATTTTACATCATCTAACACATTTTTACTCATTCTTACTCATTTTATTTGCTTGATCTCATTTCTTTGTGAAATATCAT